TGCTTTAACAAGCATTATTAGAGTAAGCGAAAATAATCACTTTCTATTCGAATCAATCAGGCAAGAAAATTGAGACTACAGTGACAGTGAATGAAAGATAACTCTCAATTTAGTTTCCCCTAGCAAACAGTCAGTCAATAAAGCAGGTGAACATTGGACTGGACTCAAGCAGTGAAGATCAGAAATAAGGTGAAGTTCGCTATGCATATCCTGTATGCTTAGGAAAAGACTTTATGAATGACACACTAACGTATATACCAGTTAACAAAAGGAGGTCAGATCTAATAATGATAGAAATGAAATACATGCCAAATGAACATTTACTGCAGGGTAAATCAGAAAGTTAAATTATGTAAAAATCAAAAACGATAAATATAGTCAATTAGTAAGAAAACAAACTTGTACTTGACAGCACTTCACACTTTTAACTAATATGAGGTGAATTTTATCGAATAAAGAGATTAACGACCAGAAAGTCATTCAACAGCTTTAACATTATCAGCATTATAGTTAAAGAGACAAAAGTTCCTTAGTTAATTATTTTTGTCCTTTTTTAATTACAGTGATTATTCGTCTATTTTTGAATCATGTACAATATTTACCATCTAATCAGTCATAAATTATTCAACTGAGAAAATAATAAAAATAATGACATTAACTTAAGAGGATAGACGAAAGCTTTGTCTCACATCAAATGACTTTTCGGAGGATGATCTTGTCCCAGGAACCTTCTTAGTAGATCTAGATTATGCACATGATATATTCGTTATAGGTGTAGATGATGACAAAATGCAGTCTTATAGGCATGTTGAGTGATGAATCAACAATACTTAGAAAGCATTTCCCACCTTTCAAATACAAATTATTACGTGAGGATTCCTTTGTGTTGATGTCTCATCTGATAGTGGAGTAAAGTGGATGGATCCATTAACAAGTTCACCTGCCTATAGAACGTGATCAACCCTGAAGGTCCCACAGTAGACAAAATCTTGGCCAGTATACAGCTTCGAGAAGTTTTTACCAAGTTGCGTTATCTACAGAGCTGGTGAGACATATGATTGCCTGTAAACAATCAAGTGAACTGGTCAGTAGTTCGCTTAGTCTAACTTTATAACTGTGAAACAGAGTCATTTAAGGTGAAGGAAATGATAAAACTCCAGGTATTCGAGTACCATTACCTTCATACTGCACCCCGTCAGTCGAAGAGTAAGTTTTCAGGTGAAATGAGTAATTCAGATGACTTGGTCATAAACCTTAACCGACTGAGATCACTAGGATATGTTTTACGCATGCTTAGTCACCATCCACTGCGACATACAACTTTAACTGAAGTAAGGTCAGACTGGAGAAAGATTAAGGGTGGCCAGACTAAAACGCGTCTTCTGAAAGGGTCTGCAGACTTATCAGTCAGTTTCTACACGACAAGTAGAATTGGTAGTTAGAGATTCGAAGAAACATGATTCGGAATTGATCCCAGTGATTCACATGCCTTTAACGATTTCCGCTGCATAATCTTCACATCACAATTCGCTATTTTTTTACAGACCAGTTCTATCTTATAAATTTAGACGAATTTTGATTAAATTTTCTCCCTATTCTTCTATCCTGCACTTTTCTGCCTCGTATCTCGATGTGATGATTTGAGGTGTAACCCCTAAAATCGTCACACAGTATTTTCAGTTTCCGTGTTGATATTAACTAAACTGAACCGTCGTATGAATATTATCGCTTTGCACATTCAAAGGGATTACTTTGAAGCAAAATTTCATTCATCTTTAACCTAAATTTATGCTTTGTTATCTAAAACAGTTATTGAACCGCTGATCAAGAGTCGAATCACTTTTCTGTCAGTAACAAAACGAGTAATCAACATTGTACCCTTCCAAAGAGTTCCAGTGTTCTTCCACGCAGGATCCTTCAGGAATGTTGCCCAATGTCTCCCATTTTGTCCTCATGACTGACGTGAAGATGTCTTTTATAGTTTTGTTCCTCACTTTCTGTTCTGGGTGTTGAACTTGAACTGTGGCCTATCATCAGTTTCTGTGAAGTCTTTCAACTTGTTTTGAATGTAGGTTCCTGCACTAAACAGTGAGTAATGTGAACCTACATCTGCTCCCCTTCTTCACCTTGTGTCTAGTGGGCTGCATCTCCGATTTCTTGAGATTGAGATGGGTGACTGTCTAAGTGATAGAGCTAGACAACTGCCCAGTCAGTGCAAGGACCTAAACAAGGAACTGAAACGCATAAAAGAAACACTAATAGTTAATAATTATCCTCTACAGTTGATTAAAAATTTGTACGAACGCATAACAAACGAAAGGATTACAGTAACACGAGTACGACTAATAACAACAGCATCTGTAGATGGGAGTTCATAGCCTCCATTGTGTTACCCTATGAGGAAGGTACGTCAAGAACTTTACGTAGGATCATCAACAAAGCTGGAACTATGGTCGCACTTAAACCGACAAACTTACTCAGAGATAAGCTTTGTTGCCAGGCTAAGGATCCGATAGAAGTAATTAAGCAAAATAATCTAATCTATCAAATTCCATGTAATGACTTTGAAGTCAAGTACATAAGTCAAACTAGCCGTTCGGGGTCAGTTAGAATAGCCTAACATAGGAATTTCGCTAAATATATAATGACAGGTCTGAATAAGATCAATAACTTACAGAAAAAATCGGCTATTGCAATGCGCCCATTAACAAACTACCACACAATAGGGCGGGATAAAACCATTGTACTCAAGTCCAATATAATTAGGTGGAAAGAGAGATTGATTACCGAATCTTTGTTCATCGAATCAACAGGCAACGCATGTAATAGAAATGACACAACAATTATGCCGGTGGTATGGAAAGTGTTACTATCAATAAAAACCAATTATATGAGGTGGGTGACAGGACTATAAAAACCAGATGTCTAAAGTAGTGCGATTAAAGTGATACGATTATGATAATTTATACTCGAAGCATCATCAAGTAAATAATACTGTATCACTGTGTGTTACAAATCAAATCAACAAATCTGTGGAATCTTAACAACCGCTTGAGACTGTTTGTTTATGAAGGAGTCAGTGATTACTTTTACCAGAATTACTAACTTTTCTATTCTGGCTATTGTGATGCTTATCTTAACATACAAAATTGATATTAACGGTATGAAATATTCAAAATTTACTCCTTTGAGGTGGTGGGAAATATTTCTAGCCTAGGTGGGTAATTTTGATGGTGTTGTGTTCTCTGAGCTGAATAATTTACTCGTACAGCTTCCGTTGTCATGCTACACAAGATCAACGGCAAAATTCTGAAGGAAGTGAACCCTAAGGTTTTCCCTTCATTTTATTTGGTTGCTTTTATTGATGGCCTTCAGTGTGATTGTTTAATTCTGTCAAGATCTTGTAACTGTTTCCATATTCATTTTAATGGTTGTCCTGCTGATGTGAAAGTTGACCTTCTCGTGGTTTCTTATTGGTTGATTGATTGGGTCATTGTCAACGTGTCTGCTGATTCCCGACTGACCTGAATACCAAGCTTCTAAAATCCTCTGACATTCTTTATACTTCTTCCATCCAAGAGTTTCACGTTTTCCCGGTAAGGTTGATGCCCATAGTTGTCCGCATGCATTGATATGAGGGAAGATGTGTGATGAAGCTTCACTGATAGTTAATGTGCATACAGAAGGATGAGAAGAAGGCGACCACTGTGTGCTATGTAGCGTTCCTTGAAGTTTATTTTGCAGATGATGCTTGATTTGTTTTCCTTTTCTATCTTATCCTTTGGCTTGCATAACAAAGAGTGAAGAGATTTTGTCGGCTTGTGAGATACAGCGATTCTAAAAGCCTTCAATGATCCCGTCGTAACCACGGAGATGTCATTCGTGTGGGGTAGGACAATCCGTTTGCTGGTCTTCGAAAGTGACTTCTCGGTTGACAACGAATTATGTAAGCATCTTTAGATGAAGTTGTGTGGATAGCTGTTCTTCTGGAAAACAGTTATTAAATAGTTTTCTTTTCAGGACTGATGTACAACAGTGTCTTCGCTCAACAATATTTTTATACAAGTGACTTTGTGTACTGTTGGGTTGCTCCTATTGTAGTTGCGGATTTAATCACTATGAGTTGGTTTCCGCATACTTTAGTTTCCAATATCCCTGAATCTATTCTTGTGATCAGAACACCTAAAAACCCAAGTTTGTTACTTCAATGGTGAATTTGATATCCATGAAGCTATTGTTAATTGGTTTATAAGCGTTTTTCAATTCGTTTCTTTTAATGTTGACAAGTGTGTCGTCTACATACCTCACCCAAAGCTCAGTTTAATTAACGACCATACCACTGTTTCCAATCTTTCCATCACTGCTTCTCCAACTAGTCCTGCTGTAGGCGATCCCACTGGTGTTCCCTTTCAAAAGCTACTCCTTTGTTTAAAACCAAGCTTCTCAGTTGACTAACACAAATTTAGTCAAAAGAATCCCTCGTGAGTCGGAATGATGCTTCAACAATCTGTTCGGGGTGCGACATTATCACGGGCAGTTTGATTAGCATTTTAGTTACCCACTAAATAGATATCCACCATGTTTAACTTCACACATTGTTATTTGTATTCAGATACCACGCCAGCTTTTTAGATTCAACAAACAGTTAGCAAATGGGAAGATCAGTGCCACTCAACCTGTTACAGGTTTAGGTACAATGCCAGGAACCACGCTTAGTTATGGAGACATTATATCAAGGCTGAAGTAAACAGCATTAGACCTGAACCCAGGGCCGGTTATTGAAACTGAAGTGTCTATGCCAATGAGTCATATCTAAACCGGTTAGTCAGACCATAATGTTCCTAGATATATCAAACTGCTTCGAAAAGCAAGGGCGGCAAGAGCTCACTAAATGTTCCTTTCAATATAATGCTTTGTCTGTGTTATTGATTTAACAACAGCCGTTTCATCTTGCAAATCACCTCACTCAGATTTTAAACTTTTGCTCTTGCATTTAACAGTTTGCTTCAGTGGTATTTACAGCATGAGCAAAATGGTCACTAATTGGAACCGAGTTTGCCCGCTTTTCTCTTAATATGCAAATTGAATGGAACATGAATTGAATTAATACTTCTACTTCTGCATACATCCTCTTAATTATTGTTGTTTGGTTCAACGATGTTTTAACGAATAATCTTTTCTTCTTTCACACAATAACTGTTTTACCTTAAGAACAGTGCATGTTTTGAATAAATTTTAATCAGAGCAAAATGATATTTATAAACTTTTGAGAGCCTTTATTGTTCCAAGTAAAAGATTACATAATTGTTTCATCCACCTTATGACTTTTACAGCCAAGAACACACACCTCACTTTTTAATTATCAGTGATAGAGAAGATATAATTCAGCGATGAAAATTTTCGTTACTTTTTCGACGATATCGTCCAAAAAGAAAATTTTCTCCTCTGAATTATCTCTTCTCTATAATTATCAGTGACTCTAAACAAAGACAGTAAAAGTGAGTCGATTCGACCGTGAATAATAATTTAAATCGACATGTGCGAAGTGTAAAATGTACAAATAACTGTTATGCAGGAACTGTTTACACGGCTACTAAATCCGAACACCAGTAACGAAAGAATGCAAATCCAACTGTATCAGGTATCCAGACACTCGTTTGACCAGATTTACTTTACCTCAAAGTGAACCTGTTAAGATTCGCGGTTGTCGTTAACTAGAGACGCATAATCTGGATATCAAATGAACGAAGTGATACTGGATAAGCCCCTCGGCTAGCACAAGAAAAAAGCAGTGCTGAAGTGAAAAAAATTCCCCTCAATTGAAGAGTAGGAAACTACTGGCAAAACTTAAGCGTCTTCGCACATTTGGCACGTTTCTTAAGGAGAACAGAGAAATAAACGTGTTATGGGTGGGCCAATGACCAATAGGAATACAGCATCTTCAAAAGCATTAAAAACAAGAGGTGAGCTTGAGACGGAGTAAAGCAAAAGAAAAGATAAACTAAGATTCCTATCAAGTATATTTATGAATTTGGTGCAAACACTGTTCGTTTGGGGAGAACTTATATCCCCAAAAGAGTCTATCTGCATAATATGGTTATTATGAGAACTCAACTAAATTGTCAATCGACACCAAACAGTGAAGTATTTGATGAAATTTCTGCTGCACAATTTACGTTAGGAAGAAGAATTAGAACATCATCAGACTGAATGTAACTGATTACCGGAAATAATAACTGACAGAATTGAAAGATGAAAAGTTGGTGTGACTGTAAACATGGAACTATTTCAAGAAAATTGGCAATTTTCGGAACGGCAGAAAAGCCTAGTTATGTGTGGTTATTAAGGACAGATATGGAAACGTTATTAGTGAAGCAAGAGTTGAAGAAATGATATGTCCCAGACATATAATTCATTTTCCAAATGCTGTGTGTAAATGCCTCGAAGAAAGAAAACCGAAATCCACACAATAAGATTTTCAGACAGAAATGTGGGTCTCAAGAGAAGCGAATATAGTCCGAAAAAATTGGACCACCACTGGTATGGTATAAGGTACCGACACAAACGTAAGTGATTGGTTCTAAATCAATGAATATTCAGAAAGGGGGAGATGTTATACCGACTGAAGGACGGAAAACGCGTGTCTCAGGTAAGCATAACCACTCGTATTATTTTGAAGATTTCAAAGGACATTTCATAACCCGGCTTAATAGTACTTAGTGTGTTAAATACACTCACAGGATATGAAGGAAGAAGAAGTATTTCAGCAAAGTCACTTTTCGGTGATTTCCATTTAAGTGACCCACCATGTCACCTACTTCTGTACCACCTATGGTTCTGAAACAATTGTACTTTCAGTGAGATTATTTACTGTGTATCGTCTCACTTTCTATGCTCGTTTCACTTTTATCAGTAAACGTAAGTAATGTACAGCCAATTTAACTGTATATATAGATGACTATGATTTCCAAAACAGCATGACACCTTGTGTTCTGATAAATGGGGTTGGAAGATGAACCTTATGTGATTAATGGCTTAGGGGAAAATTTTGGCACAGGAGACGTGAAAATTGAATGTGAGACTTATCACATACGAGGTTTCATTAAGGGGAATTGGAAAAATCACGTATTACAGAAAATAACTACTAAGGTATTTATATTAACTGACCGTACATTGCGTTGTACACAGCTTTGAAATAATCAAAGACGATAATGCAGGAAAACAGATGCTTTAAACACAAAGTGAACACTGAATCACAGTTTCAAATTCATAAATTCATTGTTTGAAACAACTTATCTGAATACCTCCTAAAGACAATAAAATTTGTTATTGAACAATTTGCATAAAAACACTTTCCGATTTCGGTGCACTTTGGATGTATGATCTGAAAGAAATTTCAATTTACCCCAGTCTTTCATTTTAGTTCCCTTATTAGATGTCACACAGTGGAACAGTTTTATTCGCTGGCTGACGTTAAAAACATACCTTTTTTGTCCGTATTCATATCACGGCATATTAATATCCAGTGGATAATACTGTTTCAGTATGACACATCCGGGAAACCAACTAAAATGGAATTACAATCTACAGTAGTGCCTAAAGTTCACTCCAGTTGCATTTTTCTCAGCCACATTTTTGAAGTGGAAAATTTCAGAACGCAAATGAGTTTTGTTTGATGTGCAAAATTCAGTCAGTTGACCCACCGTTTTGTAGGCTCAATGTACCATACAAATACTAAACATTTTAGTTAATATCATTTAATAGCTATTCTCACTTTGCAAGATAATATAAATTATAGTTGTTGAGATTCTTTTGCTGAATAGCATAGACTACTTACTGCAGGTAATAACTGGTATTAAAAGGTTATCTTTATAGTTACAGAATGTTGCAATTCCAGTTTGATGATGTACAAGACCTCCGAATTTTGTCTTTGTTTCATTTTACACAAACCATGATCAAGACTTGACCGAATAGTATCGCAAACATTAGGCGCTGAGTAAAAGGATGACACTTTCTGTAGTTTATATTTGTGTAAGTATCTACTTATTGAAAATCGAAATCCTCAGCTGAATGCATTATAAGGTGGAGTGGCATTTAAATTAAACTATACATAGCATAACATTGTTATTATCAGTTTAGAGATTTGTTCATTGGTCTCTGAGCTTTGAGCTTTAATTTCCATATACCTCGTAAGAAAGCAAATGCTGATCGAATTTTGCTTAGACTGGTGATGAAACCTGCACGAGCAAATCTCAGTGCCTGAAGGATACCAAAACAATTATCATCCCCATCTTGAGCCACAAACATTTACTTTCATCTCAAGTTTAGACATTCTTTCGATAAGTCAGGAATTTGATATATATATATATATATATATATATATATATATATATATATATATATATATATATATATATATATATATAGTAGGAAGTTTAAAATTAATGAGGGTATGCTCACATATTTATGCTAAGAGCAAATAATGAAATTGCTTACAATGCATACTGGTGGATAGACAATGTTTTTTAAAGGTATAAGTAGTAGGAATGTCAACAGTTCAGGAGTATGGAAAAGAGATCAAGTGAGGATGAAGTGAAGTTACACTACCATACATACAGACAAGTATAGCACCGATAAGAAAGCGTATTGGTATGTTGGATATATATATATATATATATATATATATATATATATATATATATACTTGAATAGTTTCGTTGACTCTGGAATATGAGTTAACTCATATATATATATATTTTCTCTTAGCCATGAATACTTTTCACTTTCAGATTTGATTTCATTTTCTTTGTCATATGATGTAACTAAGCTAAATATATTTGAATTTCATCTGGCTTTGATGAGTATTTCACAAGACATTTCTAATGTATTTTAGTGGTATGCAGTTTTTTCAGTCATGTGTTTTCGACAGTTTGGAACTTCCATTGCCAATTTTGTCCATTTTCAATCAAATGAACACATAAACTATTACTCTGATGAAAAAAATCAGAAAAGCCTGAAACTGGAATACCTAATGACTTATTATTATTATTCTTTATTTGTCCCTTGGGTTCCTAGGGGAATACAGAGCTTCAGTACACCATCGCCAGTGTACTCTGTTCTCCACAATCTGTTCAACCCAGCTCAACGATCGCCCAGATGTTTTCATTTCTTCCTGAAACCATCTCCTCCATGTCACCCTCGCCTCCGACGCCAAACTCGTTGTTTACCCCTTGGATTCCACTAGAGGGCGTGAACTGATGAGTGATGTCCCCAAACGGTCTCCTCAGTGTACCTCAATCCATCTCCACTTTCTTCTGCATATTTGTTGGGCGATGGACTCTTGGTTGGTTCGTTGCCAGCTAGCCAGCCAGAGTTCCTTGTTGCTTACTCTTATTATTCTGGTCATCCGATCTGATCTTCAGTATCGAGTGAGCGTAGGTGGTAGCTGTTGAGGAATGTCTATAGTTTGTTGTTCGTAACGCGTCAGGTTTCTGAAATATACAAGCACTGACTTGACGTCGGTGTTGAAAACCGGATCTTGTAATTTATACCGATGGGGGGGGGGAGGTGCAGTAGATCTCCATACTGGTTTCAGATTAGTGAAAGTCTGTCTTGCTGTCTTTCCGATCCTGGCTGGCTTTGACGTCCTCATCTACGCCGCCGCCTGTAGATGAAATGATGCTGCCTAGGCAGGTAGGTGAAAGAGACTACTTCCTTCAGATTCCTGCCGTTCATGGTGATTAGAGCCTGTTGTTGTTGGTTGGATATCGTCATCACCTCTGTCTTCTATAAGTTCACCTGAAGGAAGTCCCGTCTTTGCTGCCTCACCTCTTCTGTCAACTTGTAGGTTTTTGTCTGCAGATCTTCGAGTGTGAGCGACAAGACATTGGACACAGTACATCATCGGTAAAATGCAAATCCCCTAGGGTCTTTTCATCAGTCAAACAGCGTATGCCCGTCTTCTCACCCCTCACACTTTCTTGCATGATCCAGTCCAGTCCAGTCGACCGCTCTCAGGAAGATCATGGGTGATGGTAGACGGTAGCCTTGTCTTACTCCTGTCCAAACTTCAAAGGCATCACTCAGCTTCCCACTGCAACACTGGGTGCCACGGTTCAAATCTCTCTGGTCACAGATAACCTTGTTGACGAGTGCCAACAAACACGAAACTCAGCTTTAGGTCTTACTGCTGATTACCCTAAACCGACTTATAATAGCAGTCTTCTTACTCATAAATAAGAATTTCACAACGCTTAAAAATTTTACACACTGCATACTCCATGATAAAATGATTCAAAACAAAGATTTTAAGGAA